TTCCTTGAACAAAGCCCTCCAAAACTAGGATATGTGTTGGGAGGGCAGCCCTCACAAAACTCTCTGCCCCTCCTCCAGGCTGCCCAGTCAGGAAGGTATCTTCTCACAGAGAGATAGCACAGCTTCTACTGGGTGTTCTGCTTGTTTGGGGATATCTCCCTGTTATGGGCCTGATGAATACTTCTTTGTTCTTCTTATGCATGTGCATCACATGGCACCTGGCCAACCCCACTGCTATGTTTGTTCCTGGTGGGGAGGGAATGGGGTCCTTCACCTGCAGGATGAGAGGTACATGTAGCCCACCATTCAGCAAGGAGTGGCCCGCTGGTCATGGGGGACCCACATCAACTATTGAAGATGATCTTACTCTGCTTCCCTTCCCTGTTAGTAAACCCTATTCTATCCGGTGCCTGAGAATAAGTTTTTATTGATGACTTCGACACTGCTCAACAATATGAAATGGGAGTGTGTCTTAGTTAACTAGTGCTGCTATAACAGGAATATCACAGGTGGATGGCTTTAACAAAGAGAAGTTTATTTCCTCACAGTAAAGTAGGCTGAAAGTCCAAATTCAGGGCGTCAGCTGCAGGGGAAGGCTTTTTCTCTCTGTTGGCTTTTTCATAAATCTTCCCCTGGACCAGAAGCTTCTCCACTCAGGGAACCCGGGTCCAAAGGACGCGCTCCGCTCCCATCACTGCTTTCTTGGTGGTATGAGGTCCATCTGTCTCTCTGTTCACTTCTCTCTTTTATATCTCAAGAGATTGCCTCGAGACGCAATCCAATCTTGTAGATTGAGTCGTGCCTCACTAACACAACTGCTGCCCATCCTTCCTCATTAACATCATAGAGGAAGGATTTACAACATATAGTAAAATCACACAATACCGGGAATCATGGCCCAGCCAAACTGATACACACATTTTGGGGGGGACACAATTCAATCCATGAGAGTGTGATATGCAATTAGGTGAGTGGGCACAGAAGATCTTGTTTAGAAGGTTGACTTGGATATTGAAGGATGAAAGATTTGAGAATGGTGATTGTGGTGAAGGGTAAGAGTAGAGGCTGGAATGAGTGACAAGAACATCAATACAATGAGGAGTGATATTGAAAATTAGATTGGGGTGGGTCTCAGAAAAAGTTTCCCTGATAATGTGACACAAACTAAATCTGGAAATATGAGTAGGAGTTAACTAAACAAAGAAGTTGAGCAGAAGGAAAAGGAAATAGCACAGTTGAGAACCTGAAGCATGAAATAGCATGGAATATTTAGGGAACTATCAGGAGATCTTTGTGACTAGAGAAAAGTATGCTTGGGGAGGGGGGCAGAGGATTTGAAAGCCACTGCCAAGTGGCTCTATATTAAGCCAAGTGCTCTATATTAAGAAATTTAACCTTTATCTTCAATTTATGAGAAACCATTAAGGTGACACAGGGATTTTAAGAAACAAAGTAGTTTGATTAGATATGCGTTTTAGAATGATCACTCTAGCAGCAATGGGGAGAATTGAGATGAGTACAGATTAGATATAGAAAAACCAGTTGGGAATTCGTTTAAGCAGTTAGGAAGTGCTAAGAACTTGATTAAGGCACTGCAAATGGAAAGGGAGAAGAGGAGATAGACTGAGATTATAAATAGAAGAATATGCAGGATCTGGTGACTGATTGAGGGAGGTGATGGATGAGAAGGAGAAAAATGAGTTTAAGGAGGAGAACGGACGGATGGTGGTACCACTTCCTGGAGTAGGGAATACAGATTTTATTGAAGATTGTGAGTTGAGGTTTGGACATGCTGACTTTGAGATGACTATGGGATAGCTAAGTGGAGATGTCTAATGGGAAGTTGAGCAAAATGTTCTAGAGCTCAAAGGAGTTCTAGGATAGAGATGTAGATGTAAGAAATAAAACGTCAATGCGTTCAATCAGAGAAAATGTGTAGCTTGAGACGAGACTATGCCTAAGGACACAGCTCTGGGGACGAAAGTTTACATGATCAACAGACGGATAAGTGCCTGTGAGGGAAACAGAAAGGACGAGCAGACACTGATCACAGGCAAAGCCAACGTGTAGGCTCTGGAGCATAATTTATAATGACCTACTGGGGCAGTAGTAGATCTAAGAAGGAAAGCTCTTAAGAATGTCAAAGAGTAGCTATGTTCAGACATTAAGGCAAGACGTTTGGAAAGCTAGGCTAGTGAACTTGGAGAGGTTGCTCAAAAGAAAATCCTCAAAATGTGACTCAGGGAAAAGGACCTAAGTAATTAAAGAAGGGGATTCTCCATTTCTTCATCTATAAAATGAAGAGTTTTGTTTAGGTGAATTCCTAGACCCTTTCCAGTTCTAAAATTCTGATCCTATGAGCTGGCATTGAAGAATGACTGGGACTTGGAACTCTAACTGTAACCCCATCTTTGGAGATCTGCTGTCCTGCACCTCCAACCACCCATTCACCACCGATCCATCCACATGGTTCCCATGGAAGCTGCTGAATTCTGCCTACAATTGATTTGTTTAGGGGTGGGCACCTGATCCAGCTGGGCCAATAAGAGACCTTCCCAGGATTTTGAAGTTAGAAGTGAGAAAGAGAAGATGGCTTCTATCTGGGTGGTGGTAACTGAGTATTTGCAAAATCTGGAGTTGATGGAACTGTGATGTGCAATCAGGCATAAGAAAAAAAGCTAGGATGAAAAGGACACAAGAAGCAGAGGTGCAAGACAGAGAAAACTTCCTGGGTTTTTCAAAGTGCTTCAGGCCCTGGTGCTAGTCCACTGTTAGCATGTATCACAGCCCTTGAATTCCATGAGATATTCCAATACTCCTCTAATATGTCCCCCTTTGAGACTTAAACTAGTCCTAGTTGACTTCTGTTATTTGCAACCTAAAGGGTCCTATCTAATATACTGAGATTAGTCAGAGCCTACTTGGGAAGGGGAAAAGTAAGTGGGAGATGAAGCTGTAAGTTAGGACTAGATATAAAAAAGCATCTTAAGTGCCAGGCTTCAGATTATATCTACAGTAGTGGTTGTGGGGATGGAGAAAAGGAGAGTTCCATTAACATTTCACAGAAACATTAAAACTTAAATAATACAACTTTATCAGACTGGAAAATAAACATATACAAAATCACTGTGACACTGGCCTGGGGCTCTGCTACAACTTAATACCAAAAAACCAAACCCACTGCCATTGAGTTGATTCCGACTCATAGTGACCCTATAAGGCAGAGTAGAACTGCCCCATAGGGTTTCCAAGGAGCGGCTAGTGGATTCAAACTGCCACCCTTTTGGTTAGCTGCTGAACTCTTAATAGTTCCACCACCAGCGCTCCACAACATAATAAGCAATGTTAATTAATGCCCATTCATTAACTAATGTCTATTAATTTAATTCCTATCGTTCCTTTCTGTCTTCCTTCATGTGTTAATTATAACTAGTTAATACAAAAACCAAAACCAAACCCATTGCCATCGAGTCAATTCCGACTAATAGCGACCCTTTAGGACAGAGTAGACTTGCCCCTTAGGGTTTCCAAGGCTATAATCTTTGTGGAAGCAGACTGCCACATCTTTCTCCCACTGAGCGGCTGGTGGGTTCAAACTGCTAACCTTCCGGTTAGCAGCCGAGTGCTTAACCACTGTGCCACCAGGGCTCCTTTAGTTAATTAATAGCCATCTGTAAAAAGCTATGCATGGTCAATCACCTATGGTAAACCCTGCCATCCTAAGTACCCTGCTTCAATTGTCAGTTCTCCTACATTCCAATCAAAGGGGTTGCATCCAAGATTATGTTCACTCAGGCAGGTGGATCAGTCTCTTTGAGACTCTCATTCATCAGACAGGTCCATCCTCAGAAGTCAGGGACCGGAGCACTTGGTGGAAAAGTGTCTCCTTCTCCAGCTGAGACTTTGGTAGGCCTGGCTGCCATTTGAGAAGATGCAGATTCCTCTCTGGCTCCAGGGATGGTGAATGTTGCTGTTCCTGGTGGATGCAGCTCTGCTGATACTAGCCCATTTTTTGAGACAAGCTGATGTTTCTCTGATGGCCAACAGGGCTGTTGCTCCAAGAGATGCTTCTTCAGCACCAGATATGGCCCCTAGAGTTCCATATCTTGCTGGTGGGAAAATAAATTGGCCCAACTTCTATGGTCAATTTGGCAATATCTATAATACTAATATATATATCCTCTTAACACGAAGTTCCAGTTCTAGAAATTTACCCTACATATATACCTAAAAGTGTGAGAGATGAAAATGAAAAGATTATTCATTGTAATATTGTATAAACAAAAGATTGAAAATGACCCAAAAGTCCATCCACAGTGAACTGGCTATACCATGGAATACTATGCTGCTGTAAAAAAAAAGAATGAGGAAGTACTTTATATATGGATGTGGAGTGACCATATGTATTATTAAGTAATAAAAGTAATGTGCAGATATGTTTTTTAGGAGACTGCCATATCTGTTTAAAAAGAAAAACTGTATATTTGTATACTCTTGGATCTAAAAAGAAAATTTCTCAAAAGGTACACAAAAAAATTGGTTTGAAAAAATGGTTGCCTCTGGGTAAGATTTGGTAGGAGGGGAATATGGAAAGGAGGCTTTTCACTGTATACAACTTTCTGTACCTTTTGAATTTTATACCATGTGGAAGTTTTTTCCATTAAAATTTTTTTTTAATTAAAAAATAGGGAAGGTGGTATTTTAAACACTGGTTCACAAATGCTGGTCTGTAAATCAGTGAATGCCCATAAAGAAAAATTTGTTAATCCACAATGAATTTATTTAATTTGAAAGATCATCCTTTATTCTTGATTAAGTACTTTGTATGGTGTTTGTTAGTGGGTAGTAGTTATCATTGTAGTTTTTATTTACAGAATGGGAAAAATGAAAAGTTGACATTGTTATATAAATCCCTCAAATTCATGTATGAGTCCTGAGTCTTAAAATTTAAAAGCCTACATTTAGATTTGGCTTTTGTTCTTATGCTGAATAATCTGTTTTTACACATTATTTGGGAAGGAGTTCCTCCTGTGTATTTCATGATGTCGACTAAGTGATGAATTATAGCTGAAGGCTTTTCCACATTCATTACATTCATAAGGTTTTTCTCCAGTGTGATGTCTCTGATGTTTCTTAAAGGATGAATCATGCCTATAGGCTTTTCCACAACGATTGCATTCATACGCTTTCACTCCTGTATGAACAGTTTTATGGTTGCTAAGGTGTATCCTCTGCCTAAAAGATTTCCCACATTCCTTACATTTGTAGGGTTTCTCCCCAGTATGGATTCTCTGGTGATGTGTTAAATATGCTCTATGGCTAAAGGTTTTACAACATGCAGTACATGCATAGGGCTTCTCCCCAGTATGAATTCTCAGATGTTCACTAAGGTGTCGAATCTGTCGGAAGGTTTTCCCACATTCATTGCATGTAAAGGGTTTCTCTCCAGAATGAGTTCTCAAATGTTGGATCAAGCTAACGTTCTGGCTGAAAGCTTTCTGACATTTATCACATACATAGGGCTTCTCCCCCGTATGAGTTCTATGATGCTGATTAAGAGACGAGCGATGTCTGAAGGCTTTGCCACATTCCTCACATTCATAGGGTTTCTCACCAGTATGGATTCTCTGGTGTGTATTAAGGGATGCGCTTTGACTAAAGGCTCTTCCACATGCCCTACATCTGAAAGGTTTTTCACCAGTATGAATTCTCATGTGTTCAGTAAGATGAATGGTTTGTTTAAAGATTTTTTTACATATGTTACATCGAAAGGTTTTTGTTCTTATGTAATCTGTTGGATGATTAATGAAATCTAAATTGTATATGCTCCTCTTTTTAGGTGTGTCACATTTATAGTGTCTCTGTTCTATAATAACATTTGAACTCACTATGATATTTTCCACAAATTTGTTAGTTTCTTGGCCACTGTTCTTATGGATCAAGATGGCTTGCCTCACATCTTTCCACAGGTTTCCTGGTGCCTTTTTAACTCATCATCACATCTGTAGACTTTTCTCAATGTGGAATAAATTATACCATCACTCATGGACCTTTCCATCATAATGCTGTGATATAGCTGTTCCTGTGGAATGTCTTCCTTTATGGTTGAATCATTGGTTTCTGTTTTACTCTCCAAGTCTGAAAGAAATGAAAAAATTCAAATAACTCATATTCATTATGCTCTGAAAAATCAATTGCTATAATGGGAATGGAACAGAGACTGAAAAAACACTATATATAAAGTACACGAGATTTTGACTATATTTAAATATGGTTATGCAGTTTGGAGATGTAATGGGAAGCAAAGTTAAGAAACAGTGAATAGGTTGAAAATGTCATTATATATCAAGAGAGACGATGTTAGAGATGAGGGAAGAATCTGTGCATTTCAATTGCATAGGGAAAGGGTAATAAGAGGAGAGAAGGGTTGTGAGAGTAAATATTAGAAAGAAGAGAGAGGCAGATCAGGTTCTGACATGCTATTATCTCCTGCACATATTACTGAAGGAACTATTCCAGCAAAATGAGGGAGTAAACCAAGAACTAGAGAGACGTAAAGAACAGCCAGAGTGACCTAGCAAAGGACACCGGAGTGGCCCAGCCAAGAAGACATCCACCAAATGCCTAGGGACTAAGAGAGAGGACTTTCCCATGCCCAGCTGGAGGAGGCACTATGGGAGTCACTGAAAAGCCAGTGAAAGTTCCCAGGAATGGAATGAAAGAAAGTCAGTTACTGTACACCTCCCATCCAGGGGTAGAAGAGTCATACATGCCCTTGTTCCTACTCTATTAAAGAAAATTCTCCTTTACCTATTTCCTTATAGTAAAGACCCTTGCAAGTCTGCTGTTTCTAATAATACTAAGTAACGAAGTTTCAGAGCTATATCTTAAGAATATAAGTCTTTTAAATTGACAGCTACTTTTGGAAAACAATCTCAGAAGGATAAAAAGAAGATACCCCTCTCCCCACTCAAGCAGCAGAAGGAGAGACACCAGTTCAAAAAATAGGAACATTTTTTGAACTGAGAACATTCACAGGAATATTAAGCTGTCTTTTATTGAAGTTTGTATTAATATTTACATATTTTTCTGTTTTCTGTAGTAATTGATCTATCCCTGGAAGAGTTATTCATACAAAGGAGACTTGTAAAAAACCCAGACTGCTGTAACGGTTCCTGTTCTATAACAGTTCCTTTAACCTTTAAAATTCTGACTGGTTTTCTTACTTAATACAGTGAAACTTGCGACAGCCAGAACTCAGTGAGACTGCCTTGCTTTTCCCCATCTCCCAAGTTTTCTGCTTTTGACAGGGTGCAGTCTTACCATTTTTCTATCACTCATTTTAGTGGAAAATACTTGTGTTTTCCTTCTTTGACAAGTTTCCAGCTTTCACAAGTGTAACAGTAACGTGTTGCACCAGTACTAATGTTTCAATTGACAGATCTGTATTCCTGAAAGGTATAACTACTTGCAAGACTTTTTTGTCATCACAGAAGGATCACTGGCACTTTCAAATTTCAAATTCTAAATGAATGGAGGAAATAATAAAGTCTGTGCTCTGCAGGACCCTGAGCCTGGTTCTGAATAGGAAAGAAAAGAGATAAGAAGACAGGGAAAGAGAGAAAAAAAACCCTGTGTTTTCCTCCCCAGTTCAGTATCCAAGCCCGAAGCAGGCCCAAGCTAGGGGAGAACAGAAGACTTAACTCCGAGTGAGGTTGGGAATTTTTCTTACTGCACTGAACTAAACATTTTACTAAATTTACTAAGATTGTTCTTTGTATTTAAAGGGGCTGGACCAGCCAGAGGACCTCTTTGAGATTTTATTCAGGTGCAGGGAAAGAACAGTCATGATAGCTTTTATTATTATTTTCATTATTATAAATTGAAGAAGAGAAAACCCAGGAGAATGTACAAATAGCTTCTTTGAATTAATAAGAGAGTAAAATAAGATGACTGGCTATAAGATCAATATTCAAAACCATTGTTATTAGACATTGGCAAAAACAGAAAATATAATTTTAAAATCTAACAAAAGATTTTATGGGGAAAATCCTGAAACTTTATTGAAAAAAAAAATAATAATATCAATAAATAGAACACTATACCATGTTCCTGGATAGGAGGACTCATTTTAAAGTTTGACAGTGTCAAGTGCTGATAAAGATACTGAGTTCTGGAAACTCTCAAAACCTGCTAGTGGGAGCATAAATTGATACAACTGCTTTAAGAGCAATTTGGCAATACCTTGCAAAATACAGGTGCATATACTCCATAATCCAACAATTATACTCCTAGCAAATATCTTAGAGAAACACTTGCATGTATACAAAAGAAGATATACACAAAGGTTTACTGCAGTATTTCTTGTAATTCCCAAATTTAGAAACAGTATGAATACCTATCAACAGGAAAATGGATAAATAAATTGTGGTTTATTGATTCAATGGAAATTAATGAACTAGAACAACAGAGATAAATCTCAACGATGTTGAGTGAACAAAACAAGTAGAAGAAGTATATATAACATTTATTTAAAGAATAAGACATGCAAAATAATGCTATATATTGCTTAGAGATATTATACACATATTTAGTAAAAGCAAGAAGACACATATGGGAATGATAATAATTAGATTTAGAAGGGCGGTGTTCTTTCAGAGAAGGTAGGTGAAAGCTATACGGGAATTTGTTATAATGTTCTTTATGCCTTTCTGAATGCCTAAAATATTTCATAATAAAAGCAAAGTCTAAGAAGATTATTAAACACCACTGGATTTGGTTGAGATGGAATCCTGTGGAAATTTCTCTTGTAGGAGTTTTCATAAAGTTGTTGTTGCAAGAAAGTTAAATATATGAGTTAAAAAGAGAATGGGAATTGAAGCTGGGATTATAAAATGAAAGTTGGTAAAATGTGAGATTTGTGAAATGCAGAAGAGATCACATGTATCTATGAGAAAGGAGCCTTTGATCACCAGGGCCTTAGGATACTGAAGAAAGAGGGAAAATCAAGTTTAATCTTAATGAGAGCAAGACCTCTTTTCCCTCCGACTCCAGAGAGACTTTTGCAAGGATTCAAGAGAAGGAAAAAGGTAATGGAAGGAGAAGTGAAATCAGGTTTAGTGCATGCCCTATTCAGTGGCCACAGCCGGGGAAGACTTTGGGATACATATTAAAAGGTACCATCTGCCTTGGTCTCACCTGAACTGGTATCTCCTGGCCTTCCTTCTCTGTCAGCCATGGTTCTTCTCCTTTTTCCAACTGGGAAATAACACTAGGCTTGGAAAGTTGATATCCTGTTTGTGGAGTAAAAAGGAGTATGAATGTTTATGCTGATATCTAAAAACTATCCCCAGAATTTAGCTCCAGTCCTCTGGTACTCAGGGCCTCTGAAAATGGAAGGTGAAGACACACTGTGTCTTCTTATTTCTAACTCTACAAAGTAAAGTTGTTCCTCCAAGGAAGGAGAATCAGATGTGTCCTGGCTTGGTTTTGAAAGGAACAAGACATCACTAATACAGAATCCAAGGCCTGGGAGTCCACAACAGTTAATGGTTTAGAAATAACAACTTGCCGGTAGTGGGCAGACTTCAGCCTTCATGGAGAGCCCATCCTTACCCACTGAGACCAGGTTCCCATAGTTCTCCAGCATCACCTCCCGGTACAGATTTCGGTGAGCAGGGTCTAGCTGCCTCCACTCCTCCTGGGTGAAGTCCACAGCTATGTCCTTGAAGGTTAACAGTTCCTAGAACATCAAATATGTTCTTTTTCAGCCAGAGTTCAGCGAGTTGTTCTGACCCTGTCTAGATGCCAAGAGATTCTGGTCAATTTTCCCCGGATACTCCTCGGTAATTGTTTGGCTGATTTTGCTGGAAGTTACAAAACAATGCACAGAGCATGTAAGTTGCCTTTTGCAATTTACAATTTTGGTAGAAGGGAAAACATTCATTAAATATTAAAGAATTTAGCCCCAGTCTTCTGGTATTCCCTGGTGGCACAGTGGTTAAGAGCTATGGCTGCTAACCAAAAGGTCAGCAGTTCAAATACACTAGCTGCTCCTTGGAAACCCTATGCAGCAGTTCTACTCTGTCCTATAGGGTCACTATGAGTTGGAATCAACTCAATTGCAACAGGTTTTTTTATTGAGCTAATTTTTGTAGATGTGGCTTAGAAACAAGAGTTACATGGAGGGAGGCTACTATGAGCAGGGAAATTGCCACCATTGAGGCCCAGTTTTCTATACAAGAGTATAGGTTGAATTTTCTTAGTCTCCTTCCCTGCTTCTCAACCCCGCCTCCCAAAAAAGGCAAGGTTATAATCTTAAACACCAGGAAGTGATGTCAAGGCAATGAGAAGAAACTCACCCTAGATTCTGCTGTTGGGGGCCCAGGGGCCACTTTATCCTCTAAACCTTTTCCCTGACTCACATCAGCATCCTGAGACAGCAGAGCTGGGGAAGGAAAAGAGCCACGAGGTTTGCATCTCTCCAAATCCCCCACCTAGAGAAGCCTCCACATAGCCACTGGCTCCTCCCCCAACATATCCACAAAGACAGACATTGAGAGGGACTCAAGAGCAGCCCAAGGTCCCCTTAGATGAGAAGAGCATGCAGTGTGTTGTTTTGGGGTCTGATATTGTCTCTGTGGTCAAGGCTGGCCTCTCCCAAACAGCTCTACTCATGTCTCTCTTCAGCTCAAAAATCCTCAATGGCTTCCCAGTGCCAAGAAAGGAAAACACTTCACCATGGACTTCAAGACACTCTACGACCTGCCCAAACCTCATCATAACAGTATTTTCCTCTAAGCCACAACCCTTTATACATGGGACACAGCCCCATCACATTCTTAACACTCAGTTAGACTCCAATTGTCTTAATTCTCTGAACTACTCTTGAAGGTACTCACTTCTGTATCGTTCTTTCCCAAGTCTTCTACAAAAAATTTAAGATATCTTTCAATGCCCAATTCCATGCTATCTGCTCTGTGAAATTTTCTCAGATAAGTACAAACAGAAGAAAGTCTCCTGTCCCCTATATTCCAAAAAAACATTTTCTTAGGTTACCTTCTATTATTTTTATCTGGGTACATATCTATCTCCAACAATTAATAATTAGCATTAATAAAAATTATTCATTTTTTCATCTGTCAAAATGCTTAGCACAGCCTGACACAGCTAGCACACAATAAATACAGGCTGAATTTGAAGTGTTAAAGGTATGAACTAAGCAATCACATGAGGCACACGAATTCGTCTGTCTGTCTATCTATTCCTGACCAGGCAACTAGGTAATACGTTATCTTGGCATGTCTCTCACTAAACCCATACATTTCAAGGTAAAATCGGAGTAATCGGCATGGCATTCCTGCCTCTCAGCCTTCAGCATAAGATGAAAAGAAAGCAATGATCAGCAATGATACTTGTCAAAAACATTGGTTTTAGATTAAAATACTGAAACTTGTAAAGGAAAACCCTTAGAGAGTTTAAGGGGGCAGAAATCTTTAAACTCCCCCCCACCCAAGAAAACGTGACTTACCTACTCAGCAGCTGCTGGTAGGGAACACTCTGTATTCTCAGTCTTCCTGTCGTGTGTTGTATACAGGATGGGAGACAAGCACAGTATAGAGGACATGGCACACGGAACTCATGTTAACAGCCCAAGATTTTCTCTCACAGCTCTCTCCTTCCTAGAAGCCACAAGCATGAATCCCAAAGGCCTTGTTTCCTCCAATTTTCTCCCCAAGAGACCTTCACAATGAAGTGTCTACCTACTTGTCACATGTCAGACACACCTCCTTCTTCTCCCTCTACCCCGCGCCCCATCAGTCTATTCTCACCTTCTCCCTGGAGCATTTTAGTCACATCCTCCCACAGGGTTGCCCCCTACTTGGCTTTCTTTGGATGGTGCAACTTCACCCAGGTGCTGGCCTCGGTGGGCAGGGTGATCAAGAGCTGCTGCAGCATGATGAAGCCCACACTCCTGAGGGATCGTCTGGTCTCAGCCCACAGGACAGAGTTGGCCTTATCCACTTCTGAGGAGGAAACTGCCGGAATCTCTAGCAAGAGGCTTCACAGTTGTGTGGGCCTCCTCTGACCACAATATCCTGCCCTGAGGACTCCAGCTTGTCCTTGCAGCACCAGGACCTGGGGGCTCCTAGAGGATGGTGTGACTTCAACAACTCTGAAAAGCTGACTCCTCTCTTAGATTAAGTACCATGTCGTTGAGAGGCAGCTGGCAGGGCAGGTTTGAGTAGCTGCCTCTATATTCTTCTAAAGGGGCAAAAGGCAAGAGGGCTTCAGAAGCACCTGTCACACAGCCAGAGCTCCAGAACACGCAGAAATATATTTAAAACTGCAAAAGATCCAAAAATAAAGAGTTGGCAACAACGCGAGAATAGTATAATCAGTGCCCTTGTATGTAGCTCTGTCTCCCAGTTCCCTACACAAACACCCGAAGATACGCAAACAACGATATACAAATATATACAGACCCTGCCCTGACTTCCCCGCAAGTAAGCTGCATGTATTGTCTGTCTGGATATAGACTTGGGAGTCAGCATACTACATGGTTAACACGGAAGGCTTTGAAATAAGACAGCCTGGGTTAGAATCCTGATGTTGTTATGTGCCATCAAGTTAATTCTGACTCATAGCAACCCTATAGGACAGAGTAGAAATGCTTCATACAGTTTCCTAGGCTGTAATCTTTATGGGAGTAGATTGCCAGGTCTTTTCTCCCTTGGAGCCACTGGTGGGTTCTAACTGCCGGACTTTTGGTTAGCAGCTGTACCTAATCACTGTGCCACCAGGGCTCCTTTTAGAATCCTGATACTGGCACACAGAAGCTCTAAGGCACTTCAACTCTCTGAGCTTTAGTTTCTTCATCTATAAAATGGGGTTAAAAATTGTACTTCATAGGGATGTAATGTTGAGCAAATGAGACAATGCCAAGCATATAGCAAATCCTTAATAAACATTATTATAAACCTTTTATTTGAATGCTGCATCACAGCATTTTTTTTTTAAGTCATTTAAAAAATAATTGTTGTTAGGTGCCGTCGAGTTGGTTGGTTCTGACTCATAATGACCCTATGTACAACAAAATGAAACACTTCTGGGTCCTGTGCCATCATTGCTGTGTTTGCGCCCATTGTTGCAGCCATTGTGCCAGTCCATGAAAAAAATAGAGGCCCTAATTGAAAATTCATTTCAAGTCTCTCAACTGATGAAATAATCACATGGCTGGGTAGTAACAGACACATAACTACCCATTGTGATGCCCAGCAGCTGGCAAATTTCCTTTAACCTTACTGGTAAAATGCATTCTAGTTTCAGAAATGTTCAAATTGGTGGAGTCATGTCTTCCAATGGAGAAAATATAGTACTTCGATATAATGAGGACCGTCGCAGAATTGTTTCTAACAGGATAATCTGGACACAACCCAAATCCATCATCTCATCCAACCCGCCGGCATCTGAGCAGATTCTCTACCAAGACTTGGTCCAGACTGGTTTATCTGGGGCCTCAAGGAACAGTCTTAGCTCCGTAGAAAGGCAGACCTCCCAACTTTTTGAAGTCTGTAAGAGGGGTATGTGGCTGACGGGCTTTTTTTGTCAGCTGTGACTAACATGCACAGAAAGGAGCTGCATCCTGGGATTGGAGCTTGAGGAGACTATCCTGCCGTGAATGTATAAAAAGTAAATGTCCTGAACCAAAGTGGAGAAACCTTCGAATCTTACTTATAAAACAGTTAATGACAGAGAAGCTGCATTTCTTAAGATGTCCCTTCTCACAGTGGTCCCAGAAATGCCACCCTTGGGCCTCGGGTCAAAGACAGCAAACATGGGCAGAGTTACCCCCTACTTACCAGATGGGCCTTGAAAGCAGGTAGGACCAGAGATGGGGGCGTGAGAGGGCTAGCTCTTGAAGCTTTAAGCTCCAGTGTCTCTTTAAGTGAAAGACTAGGTGGTAACAGATTTTGTTGTTTGCCAGCCTTTTAGGGACAGATAACATCCCTACTCAATATAATCATTCTTCAAAAAATGTCCAACGTTCACGTAGGCTTCAGAAGCCTAGAGGACCCTAGCCTCCGGACTGGACGGGGGTCTTTTCCAAATTTCCATCAAGAGCCAGGCGGGGCAGGTGGTCCTGCACAAGCTCAAGACCACTCTCTAAAGTGAGATTTCCCAGCCGCAGCCTCAGGAGCGGAGCTCTGGGGCCCGAATGGGAGGGGTCCCCTGAACCGGCTTCACTCGCTAGCTGCTGCTTTAAAGCCCCAGCGGGTGGCAGCGACCAACTCCGCCCTCCTCTCCGCCCTCAGCGATCTGGCCTCTCAAGCCTAAGACGCAGCCGGGGGTCTCCCGCACCTCTGCTCTCCCGACACCCCTCCTCTTCCCCCCAGCCCTGGTGTGGTCCTCCGTCCGGCCCAGCTCCTCGCGGTCGCAATAGGAAGCCGGCCCAGGGCAGGTGTGTCTTCCGTGGGGGCTCCGAACGCCCCGCTGACAGCTCCGCCCACAAGGCGCCGCGGAGGAGCACGCCCTCTCCAGGGAAGTAGGACCCTCAGGAAAACCCGGAACCCGGAATAAAGAGAAGCAAGTCCCCGGGCACACGCTCCCCCGAGAGTGCTGCCCGTTTTGAGCAGGTAGCCGCCGCCCAGTCAGACCACCCGGTTACTGACTGTGGTCTGGGAAGAGCACGTGGTCGGCCAGCTCTTCCGGTGAGGAAGCCCCTTTTCTGCCATCCATCCATCCATCCATCCATGCAACAACTATCTACTGAGTGCCGGCCATCTGCCACGCGTTCTTATAGGCTCTGAGGAGACATCAGCAAACAAAATACAGTCCCTGCTTTCTTGGAACTTAATTCTGGTGAAATTAAATAGATAACAATAAGAAGAAAAATAAATAGATAATACTCCAGTTAATGGTAACGGCTATGAAGAAAAATGAAGCAGGGGAGGGGGACAGAGGATGACTAAAGTTTGTCTTTCTGGTAATGGTAAACCCATTGCTGTGGAGTCGATTTTTTCTCATAGTGCCCTATAGGACAGAGTAGAGCTGCCCTACAGGGTTTCTAAGGCTGTAATGTTTACTGGGAGCAGATCGCCAGGTCTTTTCATGGCAGAGTGGCTGGTGGGTTCCAACTGCTAACCTTTTGGTTAACAGCCGAGCACTTAACCACTGCACCACCAGGGCTCCTTTCTGGTAATGGTAGGCTAGGATAGTTACATCCGTTCACTTCGGAAAACAACAAAGTTAAAAAATAAAAATCTGAAATATGTATTTTTAATGTTCTTAAAGGCATCTAAGAGATGAGAAGATAGTGGGGAATCATCAGAACGATTGCTGGACAGTCAGAATCCAGGGAGGTAATCCAACTTGGAAGCTGCTTGTGATGATTAATTTCGTGTGTCATCTTGGCTAGGTTAGGGTGCCCAGTTGTTCTGTCAAACGCTAGATGTTATTAAGTATTTACATACGATTAAATCCTCTGGCTCTAAGTAAAGAGATTACGCTCTATAATGGGCGGCGGGGGGGAACCTCAACCAATCATTTGAAGGCCTTAAGAACAAAAAGAGGTTTCCCAGGGAATATTCTGCTTCCAGACTGTAAGTAGACATTTTGCCAGAATTCTTCACATTCCCCAAAACCTCACCACCACCTGAGCTACAGATTTGGGACACAAGATTGCTGGAATGTCCAGTCCATCTCCCGACCAACAGATTTTGGACTTGCCAGCCCCCACAATCTCGTGAGTCAATTCCTCAAAAATAAATAAGTAAATGCATGTCTGTCTATTTATCTATCTGTCTTACTGGTTTTGTTTCTTTACAGGATCCTAAGACAATGTTGGTACCAAGAGTGGTTCTAGAGGAACAGCATCTTAAGGATCAGTTTTCTGAATTGGTTTTTGGGTTTCTGGAATTTTTAAAAAATCTGGATAGATTAAAGGCACTAAGGACTCTGTTGGAGCCCTAGTGGCACAGTGTTGGCAGTTCAAATTCACCAGCCACTGCTTGGAAACCCTAGTTCTACTCTGTCCTCTAGGGCCATTATAAGTCAGAATTGTCTTGACGGCAATGGTTTTCTTTTGGGGGGGGGGTATAATGACTCTATTTCCAGTAGTAAAAAGATCATTGATAGTCCATGGTGTGGTGTGGCAATAGAGATATGCAAACTATCACCACTGGACCCTCCAAATCAGATACTTACGAGACAAAGTTCTGGGTGATTATGGATTTGATAACTTAAAACATTTTTGTCAAACTGACAAGTATAATGACATTGGCTGGTTGCTCCTAATTTTGCTACACAAAATGGAAAAAGAAAAGATGAGCACAGGGCTTCAAATTTCCCACTCACTCGCCACATAAATGACCTGAAAGTTGCTATGTGTGCCCTGAAAGAAAACCTTATGTCCTGTAGCCTCAGAGCTGAGATTGCTGAAAACCAAACCCAGAGTTTCATCCTATGAGTGGCTGAATTATGATGCAAATATATATTAAGGGTGTAGGCTAATGGTGGAAGGAACATAAAGTTGGATCAAGCCAAATTTATTGATATGGGTCCACTAAGCAGAGATTCTGCATTCAGTGTTTCAGCTTGAGGAGTTAGAAAGGTATCTAACTGTTTATTTGGTTGACTGAAACATGGATTAAAAGGAGGCCTACACTAAACGAAGTTGAAATGCCAGAACTGCCTTGGTACACAGTAGAAGAAGGCTTAGGGAGGTTGGAATGTTAGAATAGATTTGTCATCAGAGTCACCCACACCACCAGAGGACACACCTTCCACCATGACTGTGAGGAATAAATTTTTGAGAGGAGCCCCAGCATCCTTGAAGAGAGTTGTAATCACTCTTCTCCATAGCTCAGATATTACAATGGGAGCCACTGTTGAACTGAATTCTCACCTTCCATATGGGAGACCTGGGTTCAATTCCCAGTAAATGCACCTCAAGCAGA